CAGAAATACTCAAAAACACCAAATAAAAATAGAAAACCCTTAAACCCCAGAAGCCAACAAAACAAAGATTCATAGAGAGGGAGAGTACAAGAAAATAAAGAATAACCCAGAAAAACCCATCAAAAACATTTCCAACCCAGAAATCAAAATCCAGAAAACCCCACAAAAAATAAGAAAATAAAGATTCAGAAAAAGAAGAAAGATAAGAACCTGTGCTGTGACTTCTCACTAGATCTTGAGCATCCATGTCCAAAAGGAAGAGTTGGGATGACAGAAGAGATGGCAGCAGCAGAGAAAAACAATAAAATACAATATAAAAAGCTCGGAATGTGACCCAAAGAAGAAGCACACGGAATCGAAAGTCTTCGAAATGTCTGCAAGTCCTTCTGGTGTTCTGGGGGGCAGACTCCGGAGAGAGACCGTGAGAGTGTTGTACGGAACAGTCTATGGGTGACGGCGCATTAGACAATCGCTCGACCACTGTATCTCCCCATGTGACTGTGCTTTAACTTATATACGAAGAAATCAATCATTGGATGAACCTTTTGTGATTGTCTACATTGCGGTGCATGGTAATTGTATGAGGTTACCGGTGGCCCACTAAAATCGTGCGGTTGTTTTATTTTGAGCATGGTTGGGTTCGGTACGGTAATCAAGCAAAAAAAGGACAGTGATTATAGAACCAACCGGGTAAGGCCCATGACCATTTGCTTCAATGGTAGATTTCAAGTTTGAGCTGTTTATTTCATAAACGGGTAAGACGCTTGAATTTTAGGTTTCGCTTGCAATGAAAGTCACCATCATGTAAACGATGTTGGTTTTATGTAATCTGTTTGAAAAATATCATATCGCAATAGCCATGTTAAAAAGATTGAGTTACGAATGCACTTTTATTGTTTTACTAAAATTGTTCATGTCAAGTCAGAAATTATTACTCTAGTACTAGATCGTTGTATTTTAGTATAAATAAATAAGTAATTCTACATCTTGATAGAGTTTAAATCATAACATTTAAAAGTAAAGTCTCGATATTTATTTTCTTGATAAACAGTTATAACATAAAATAAATTCATCTAACTATAGAAAGACGAGAGATTTTGAAATCGTTTGTATATAATTGAAAAATGGTGATCTGAATTGGACCAAAATGGAAAGACCCATGCTCCAATTTTGAATTTTCCACTAAATCAACGGTTGTTTTTCTCCTTGATCTAAAGGACAAAAGGGTCCCGAAAAGTCTATAAATTGATGCAGGGCCATATAGAATTCATGTGGTTGATCGTAGAGGACTAAAACTTGGATGTCACGTGTCTGGATGTATTGACAACCGTGGCCACCCCCGCGAGTATGTGACCTGACCGTCAGATAACAAAAATAAACGACCAATAAAATAAACAGCTCAGATAGACTTTGACCTGGAAAATTACACCACACGTCGTCATGACTTAGCTACCTACTCTTTCCTAAAGTCAAGAAGCGACATCGACAGCCTCGCAATAAACGAATTGGGACCCTATCTGATTTATGAGTCTATGCCGACGGATACAGAAATTTGGATCACTTAATCTTAATTTTGTAGTCTTTATTAGCTCATCTTACTTATCCGTCTCACGTAAAACTATGTTTTTAAACAGTTCGGATCTCTATCTCTCTATGTTGAGTGATCTGGTCTGTTGACTTTGGACAAAGGTAGGTTTAAAGAAGATCTCAATTCACAAAAACAACATCATTGTATCTATTAAATATTTTAACGCAATGAAATATTTATAGAGCTGTGTTATCACACACTTCCTTTTATCTTTCTCACGTTCATTACAATTTTTATTCATCAAATGAAAGAATTAAAGAGGATTAAATGACAGAAATCACAAAGATGAGTATAAGGTAAAACGAGATATGTAGATAATATCATCGTATTTATATTAACTAATGAAATAATAAATTAATATCGAACTCATCATTTAAAATATTCGTTTCTAAAAAGTCTTGCTTATGAATGATAAAACTATAAAATTAAGTTGCCTAACCCGCTCTTCAATATTTGCAATTTTCTTGTATTGCGTCTTCATCATTATAATTATGATCATTAACCATAACTAACCACTCCATCATCATCAAAGCCATCATAAGATAAGGAAAAACGAAAAAGAAACCCTTATCAACTACTCCATCGACTCAATACGATAGATTGCATACATGATATGTCCACCTAATCAAAATAATATTTTTGTTTCTTCCTTAGAAAGGTGGAATTTGAAATTAATAATTTTTTCCTTCTTTAGCATGTTTAAGGTTTTTATTCTTTTTTTTTAATTTTGTTATTTAATATTAAACTATAGTAGAATTTGCCCTTATCAATTTTAGATTCATCTTTCATGAATAAGGAGTTCGATTCAAAACTATTACAAGTGAACAATTGCGTGGTTTAGTCCAATCCTTCACCATTTAGTGTAACTATATCGTTGTATTAAAAAATATTTAACAAATAAAAAAAACAGCTAACTATGAGTTTATTTATAAAATAAAAAACACTTCAAGAGCTTAATCGGAGAAAAACGCATTATATATCCACTTATCATGCTCTAATTAGATTATTAGTTGTGAAATTCCTTTAGTGCTACAGTGTACATTGGATTTTCGCTAAAGCATTGAAATTGAAGTGTTTTTCTCAAAATTGTGACCTAATCAAGGACTTATAAATGAAAACGCTTTTTTAATGGTGACGACAACTTTCTTTTTATATTTATGGAAAAAAAATTGTTAAATGTCATATGAACTTATACATATTTTTCAATTTGACATATAAACTAAAATTTTACGCGACTTGTCGTATCAATTTTTTGAAATCATTAATTTGTCATGACACATGTCGACCTGGAATGTTCACCTGGACTCCGAATATGTCTGGTAATCACATAATCTCACATAAATAAACATATCACATCTAGTGCTCATTGACAAATTCTAACACATGAGTTCATGCAGAGGTATTCTGACATGAACAGGACTAGGTGTAATAATGATTTACGCTCTATTACTACAATCACGTGAAGACTGGCACTACGCGTATCACATACGAGTCCTAATTGCTTATAGCCATCTAGGATTGGACTATCACCTACAATGGATCCAAAGTGAGCATACGGTGCAATGTGAACATACACGTTAAAGACTAGCCCTGGCCCATGCCCCGATTGAGTACTAACACTGGTACAGTGAGCAGATAACGTAAATACGAACATGCCACAGTGATTCGATAATTCTAGTCAATATAATATTATTCATAGCCATAAATCTAATTAAGGCATCCCATAGGATTTATAATGATTTTCTAATTCTCATTGTTATGTCATTTCCTATAAACGTTAATTTAATTACGGCATCACATGGTAAATTCGTTATTAGATGTATATATGAAAACTAAACACACACACACACACACTATATAAAAGAAAAGACTCACTCACAGATACTTGCTAGGTCGCAGCCTTTTGAACTAAGAAAGCTGGAGTTTCCGATAGTAATCGCACATAAGCATAATATTGGGACATGTTAGTAAAACTTAACCAAAATGATTAAATTTGGAGAAACTAATTGTGGATTCGGAATCAGCATGTCGAAATATGCTAAGATAGGTCCCAGGCAATTTTTTTTTAAAAGTCAACGCAAGGAATATTCCAGTCCATTTCAGAAATGGGCCAGATCAAGTTAATGGCAAGGTTTGGGCCGGCCCATAGATCCAGTTTGGGACGTTTTTTCCCGATTACAGCTATAATTGTTGGGAACTGGGTATTTTGGCCGGGAAACTACCACGGCTCCGACTAGCTCCAAAAACTCAACTAAAACTCACATTTTAAATACCATAATGAAGCTAGGAGAGTAAGGATTCGAGTCATACCAATATTGAGTCAAGTAGTGGCAAAAAACGGCCGGGAAATGGCTTGCAGCCTGCGGGTCCTTCGCCTGAAAACTGGGGAGATTTCTCTGAGAGATTTCTACGTCCAAACAACATCAAACTGTCTCAAAAACAACCCAAATGTACTCCTAGGCATGATCTACAAATTATTAGAAAGGTTTCAGGCCTTACCTTTGCCGGAGACGGCAAGAACTCGTTGGATTCGATATTGCACAGTGATGGTATTGTGCAGCGAGGGAGAGAAGGAAAACGAGGGCTTTCTCCCCGTTCTTTGTTTGTAGGACTCGCAGAGAAGGAAGTGGTGGTGGTGGCGTCGCTAGAGGTATGGTGATCGGTGGTGTATGTGAGTTTGTGTTGATGGGGAGTGGAGAGAGAGCTAAGAGAGGAGAGTTAGAGCGAGGCAAAGACAGAGAAAGTTCCAAAGAGTGAGTGAAAGAGACACGCGGCAGAGAGAGTGGAGACTTTGTGATGTGTGGGCCCCACAGGCCAAAAAATAAATTAATAAAATATTTAAAATATCTCATCAGAAAATATTAAAATAATAATAGTATAATAATTATGAAAAATATATAAAATATAAAATAGTAATTTTAACAAAAGTGTTTTTCAGATTTGTAGTTCCGTAAAACCTCCATCGTAACTTCGATTTTGATTCCGCTTGCGCCTACAAGTTCGTATCGTCGAGTGCTTCGAGAATACAGTAAAATAGCAGCTCGTATGCATCACGAAATGACGGTAAACGAAAATCAACAATCTCGTCTCAAATGGCATTTTTGTAATTTCACAATTTTAAAATTAATAAAATCGTAAAATTAGGGACGGGTCGTTACATGTCAACTCACCCTAACTATGTTATGTCATCTCACCCTAACTTAGAAGAACCTGGATTGCGATAATGAATGTTGTGAACGAGTTTGTAGCAAGATAAACTTACGCAATGTAATAAGCATGATGATAACTTGTTGTGGTCTATTTTACTGAATGGAGAGAGAAAGTGCAATAGAGAAAGATGGAGAAGGGCTTGAAGAATTCAGTGTGTTACTCCCCATGCTTTGTGTTTTTATTTATAGTAAACATGACATAATTTCTTGCCTTGCAAAGATTTAACTTGGAAAAATTGTATTTCTTTAATCATGAAAACACTAGGCACAACACATTTATATAATATAACAAGTGCACGTATCTTGCTAGAAGTTCTACAAATATAAAATTAATATATTTCATTCATAAGACTTGGTTGAATTACTTGTGCAATCAAAGTTCATTGTCTTGACCCTTGCTATGTTCGATCCAAGTTCATTGTATTTGACCTTACTATCTTTAACACTCCACCTCAACTGGAGTGTATATTTATGACACCCTACTTGATAAGAAGATGATCAAATTGTGAAGTACTCAAGTGTTTAGTGAACAAGTCTGCTATTTATTGAAGTGTTTTCGCATACTAGATGAGAACCACTCCTTGCAGCTTCTCCCTAAACTAGATGACAATCTATTTCGATATGCTTTGTTCGTTCATGAAAAACGGGACCGGATGCAAAGTGAAGGGCTGCTTCGTTATCGCAGTACAATATGATTGCTTTGGGATGCTTAACTAGCAAGTCATTGAGGACGCATTTCAGCCAAGTCAATTCACAACATGTGAAAGCCATGGCCCTATACTCTGCTTCACCTGTCGATCTTGATGTTGTAGTTTATTTCTTAGACCTTCAAGAAGCTGGTGACTCACCGATCATTACACAATCGCCTGAGATGAACCTTCTAGTGTCCTTGCACCCACCCCAATCTGCACCACAATAAGCTTTCAACTGTAACAAGCTTATAGAGAAAAGTAAGAACAAATAGTAACACTAACAACTGCTTTGATCAACCAAGTTTATACTCACTTTTGAACGCTCAAAACTGAACCAAATGGTATAAACTTAAATGGGTTTTGAAGCTCGTTTTGTGTACTTTAAAACCATATAAGATTTGTAGAAAACTGAGCTCCAAATTGAAACTTATGCCAGATATAAAATGGAGTCCCAAAACTGGAAATGCAGAACTTGCTGCTGTTTGGCAGCTCTGCAACTCAACTTTGGACATGGTTTTGATCAATCAAAACTCAAAGGAATCAAGGAAATCAGATGAGTTTAATTATGGACATGTCTAGTTCCAAAATACATAATATTGGATAAAAAAGAAATCATAAGGACCAGGAAATCGAGAGGTAAAGTAAGTTACTTGAACCATAACTTTTCTCTGCAGAAAAAAATGAGTTTTCTGTAATTTAGAACCCATATTCATAAGATTGGGTGTTTTATTAGAACCGATAATCGGGAGACCGACCATGAGAAGAAGAGAAGAAATGAGGCTTCCAAGCAGAATTGGTAGCAGTTGACATGGGATTTGAGCAATTGGTAAAGGACAAGATCTTCTCTGGATCCTCTTTGTAAGGATCTGATAATCAATCAATCGTGTTCATTTATCGTATATCATGTGGTCATTTTTCGTTACATATTATTTATATTTAATTTTAAATTTTAAATAATTTTTAAATGCACGATATATGATTGGATATAATTAATTGATCATCCGATTCCAACAAAAAGAATCCAGAGAGGATCCTATTCCATTGGTAAAGTTAGCTAATTGGGCCCAAATGAATGTGATGGAATAAGGATTCTTTCTAGATCCTCTTTGTGAGGATCCCTAGGATCTCTAATTATATTAATTCATCGTATATCGTGCGATAAAAAATTATTTTAAATTTTATATTTAAAATTGAACATAAATAGTATATGATGAAAACGGCCGCACGATTTACGATGAACGAACATGATTAAAAGATTTCCTAAATCCTCAAAAAGAAGATCAGGATAGGATCCTCGTTCAATGTAATGGAATTGGGTACCAAATTCACGCTTCTAGACAAAAATTAGCATAAATACAAAATACGAAAAGATTAAATAGTGAAATTTGAGGTTGAAATTTCATAAAACATATCGTTATATAGTACAACAAATACATGAATCCATGAAAGAATTCTATAAAGAGAAAATTAATATCTTTCGTTCATTGAACTTGGTTGAATTAGTTGTGCAATCTAAGTTTATCGTCTATAAATCTTGCTATGTTCAATTCAAATTCATTGTATTTGACCTTGTTTTCGTTAACAAATAATTTATTAATGATTTATACGATCACACATGTGCTATAACTAATATCACAACTTTGTCGTGGTTATATATTAATAAATTTTTTCCTGAAAAAACATAATTTGTTAAAGAAAAACAAACTGAACAAAAAGAAAAAAAAGTAAAAAGGTAGATTCCAAAACCCCTTGTTGGATAAACCCTCGTCTCTTCCCTCTCACTTCTCACTCGCTCTTCAACTCTCATCGATTTTCTTCTCTTCTGTGAATCGATTTCTCGAGAAAAATGAACTTGGGAAACTCCAATAACCAGAAAACTTCCTCACCACCGACACACAATCCGCCCCAACTCAGCCCCCAACAGGCCTTCACCAACCTCCAAAACCATTGCTCCGGTTTCCTCCACCACCTCTCCCACCTTCCCCTCTTCAACCCGAACCCTTCTTCCCTCCAAACCCACCTCCAATCCACCTTCTCCAACCTCCAGAATCAAGCAAAACATGCATTCGATTCCAGGTTTTCGAGCTTCAATCCGGTGCATTCTTCTGGCAAGAACCCAGTTTGGGGTCGAATTGCGGTGAGTAACAAAACCCAGGTCGCCAATTCCCCTGGTGGCGGGTCTAAAGCCGCCATGTCCACCGAGGACATCGAAGAGCGGCTTGCCGGCGTGCCGGTTTATGCTCTCAGTAATGCCTCGGAGGAATTCGTGTTGGTTTCTGGTGCTTCCACTGGGAAGTCTCTGGGATTGTTTTGTTTCAAGAAAGAGGATGCGGATGCACTTCTTGAGCATATTAGGATTATGGACCCCGGAATGCGAAGCGGGTCGAAAGTGGTGGCTGTGGCTTTAAATAAGGTGGGAATGTGAATAACTTGATGAAATTTTATTCATGTTTTTGTTTATTTAGGTTTTCTGTTACCTTGAAATTGGATAAATTAAGGATTGGTGGAGGTTAATGGGTGTTGGTTTCGCAGGTTTTTCAGCTCAAGGTCGATGGAGTAGCCTTCAGGTTGATTCCTGAGTATTCTCAAGTCAAGAATGCGCTTAAGGTGCGTAAGATGCTGGCACAAGAATAGTAATTAAATACACCGGTTATTTTCCGGAGTTGAATTTTGTCAATTTAACACGAAGTTTTGATTATTTGAACATAACTATAACGGATTCATCCTGAAACAACAAGAAAATAACTGCAAGTCTGTCACCCCTGCTTTATCCATATGTATGTATTGCGTGCTAGCTCTGTAAATTCACATTTGATTCGATACTGAATAGGCCAGGATGCCTTAACGATTTTAGTTTAAAAATACTTACTCAATACATAAGATACAGTCAAAACCTAGGGAAGCTGTCATATAAAAGGATCTATATGAACATCAGCACTCCCATCCTTTTCAAACTGCAGATTTAGAAACTAAATACCTTGTAAGTTCCCATAGATCAAGTAATTAACATACACATTTTAATGGACATCACTGCAGTAGGGTGTGATTGGCATTGGTCTTGAGAAATCTGCGAAAAGATATTGGGGTTTGAACTTGGTTTCATAAAAGATATAAGCTAAATGCATGCATGGTACCCTTCTGCCAGAAAATGATTTCTCTCTACCTCTCGTTCCTCCATATTCAAGTCTTATGTTTGTTTTGTGATCCCCTATGTAGGAGAGAGAAAAGGTTGGAACTTCTGATGATGATGGCTTTCCTGGTGTACCAGTTTTCCAGGTTCTACTTTTAGCTTTTCCCAATTTTAATTAGTCATATACTGTATAGTTGAAGGCCTGTAGTTTGCTGTTTGCTTCAACTTGGTTTCCTTTTTGTAGGTAACTCATTCCTTTGTCTAAACTATTTTTTTTGGCAAAATGTCTACACTAATTTGATTACACGTTCTTGATTGATTCACATCTTTGGCTCATTCCAGCCATGTGAATATAAAACATCCACATGGTCACTATTATGTAAAATTCTGAACTGATCCACTCATTGCCAATGTGGTTTTGAGTTGGGTGCTTCAACTTTGACAGATGATATATTTTGTTTACTAACCTTCCTTTGATTTACTTCACATATTTTTTTAAAACTTTTTCTCATTATCTATTCAACAGCTTTCATTTTCTAGAATGGATAACTCCAAACCTTGCTAATGTCGCCCTTTTCAATATGCCATTATGATGTTTTCCATTTGGTGGTTGTATTTTTCTAATAAGGAAAGTGAGGGGGTTTTGTCGACTTTTTTGCTGCTTTTAATAATTTGGCATCACTTTGCCACCCTGAAGTTTAAAAGATATAACTTACTGCCTTGTTCGCTTCAGAATAAAAGTGTAAGAACGAATAAAAAGAACATGGCATTTTCAATCTATAATCAACTTGAGAACGAGTTATACCATCATAGCATCAATTCGAAGTACCCAGTTGGGGAAATTTGTGATGTTCCACTATCAATATCCTTGTCGTTGAATCTAGGAAATATGCTGCATGGCTTCAGCCTAATTTCAGGTTAGGTGATATTCTAAAGGTGTAGAAACTGTGAAAAATTAATGGTTGTTGATGAGTTAAATAGGAGAAGAATTGGCACTAACCTGGAAGGGTTGAGATTGAGGTGGGTTTGCAAAGAGATTAAAAAAATTGGGTTTCTAGGTTTAAGATCTTTAAATGTGTTTTGAAATTCAACTGTGAAAGGAACAAAAATGGTAGAGACAAAACAAAGATCTATATGTGAGGGCTCTTTTTTTATTGCTGGAGAGTGGGATACACTGTTATCTCTCTCCTTTTTGTTCACCCTTTGTATTCCCACAATGTTGTGTCCTTTGGGTCTTGTCAAGTTTGCTTTTAAATTTTTGAGAAATTTGTTTCTTTTCAATTGAAGAAACTGAAGCGAAGTCAAAGTAGCTTCCTATGGATGCATGGAAGTATAAGAAAATTAAAGAGAAAACATCAGGCATTAGCTCTTAGGTTTCTTACTTTGACCTTACTTGGATAAGGTTTGTCACTCACTTCATATAGTTTATCCACGGTGACATCTAGACTGCTGCATTAGTTTGGTGGTTGACTATGTCGTTTCGGTGCAGACCATTTAGGTGCTAGTGCATGTCCGTCTAAGTCTTATACTCTTTGGCTTCAACTTATTCAGGAAAGCACCCATCAGACTGATTGTAGTACTCACCATTTACTGTGCTAGTGCCAAACACGTGCACATTTCTGTTTTCTCTTATTCTGGGACAAGGGGGCGCAGTAAGCTTATTCTGGCACAAACCACATGGTGCTAAACTGAATATTCCTCTTATTAGGAACAGTAATTTGTTCTTTTTCTTGGCCAAAATTAATAGGTCAGTTTCCCAAGTGTGTTTCTATGAAAAAAAATTATTTAACCATAGAATTTGGATGCAAAAGCTTGTTAACCTTTCAAACCCTGCAATTCACAGTTCTAGAGCTTCAAACCAGCAGTGGATGCATCGGGTTTTCCAAACTAATTATGGCTGTATGCCCAAGTTGCATCTGTTTCCTGCATGGGAGCTTCTCACTATCGCGTATTGAATGTCTTTTTGAAAGTTTGCTAAGAAATCATGCAGTAGTGCAATGTAATTAATTGTACAATCAATATAAGCATGTATCTATATTCCAATAAACATGGATCTTTATGAGTTAAACCGGTTCTGAAATTAATCTTGTGATTAATGGTCCAGTTTTTTTCGTTAAAAAAGGTCATATGAATATCCATTTTACTGCTTGATATATGAAAAAATGCCTTCAAACTGGGATGTACATGCCCATTCTCATTCAGACCTGCTATTTCTCATGAATCATGCTGCACAATCTTGCTCTTTATGATATATAGGTCGACTTGTTTTAAACTGATAATAACCTTTGGTTGGAAACTGATCTATTGTGGACAGTAGAATTCCGTCTTGAGGCTGGCTAGGCCAAACTTTTTGGACCCAAACTGTGATTTAATCTTATTCTTTTAGCGACTAGCGTTTCCTAAAGTTATTTCTGCTTCCAAACTGGCTTACTAGAATTTTGTATGGCTTTCTGATTTTTTTTTGACATTTGTCTTCATCACAAACTTCTTGCATGAATTTCCCATGCTAATATATTTGTTAACCTGATTAAACATTTAATTAGTCAAGGAGCTTGGTTCTGAAAAGCCAAAGCAAGAGCTATCGTCCAGTATTTTTCAGGAAGGTCAGTTAAACAATACCCTTGCTTGCATTATCTAGCTTGTTTTGGCATAAATATTGCGGTTTTACTTATTCTTAGAAATCTTTTAGGAGGATTTGGAAAATTCACTATCAAGAGCTTCTCGTGACCAGAATCAATTAAATCCTGCCTTCAGACCAGGGGATGTTCAGGTATGGGTTTCAGGACCTATTGACGGTGTAGCGGAACTTATCTTTCTGTTTACTTATTCTATTGTGTTGTAGGTTGCTGTTCTTGAGGAAGTCATAAAGGGGATGAAGGTAGGGATTCGTTTTTCCATTTACAATTATCAATTGTTGCTTATAAATCAACGACCAGGAGACAGTGGAGCGCCAGGATTGAGCTACAAAACTATACAAATGTTTCGCTCATTTCTCAATAGTTTTGAATCGTTTTCCTCCTATCTTGTGGGCAATTAGAAAGCAAAAGTAACAATGAAATATTGCAGGAGGGTTCTACATCAACGTGGGATGACGTCGTCTTCATCCCTCCTGGATTTGACATCTCTACTGATCCCAACAAGCAATAGGCATACTGCAAGGAGCTCGCATTACGTGGCACCTTTGGCAAGAACATTAGTCTAATACAAAATTACTTATGAAGAGTTTAATCTAGTAGGGTTTAGATTTTGTGCTTGTAGTTATGTACCCATCTGTAATTCACTGGGCTTACGCATATCGGGAAGTAGAATCTTCGTTCTTTTCGTCGTTTCTCAGGCTTATGTTCATCTGGTGTTTGAGTACTGTTGCAGGGCATAAATTCTACTTGATGAGAAAATCATATTATTAGCCTGGACGCTGAAGCCTGAACTCGGATTAAACATAAATACTGAAACAAAAGCCAGCAACCGAAAAAATTTAATCACGAATGTTTTAACTCGGATTCAACATAGCATGGTAGTGTTTATGGCGTGTGTTACATAAATTTAACCTCGCGGCTTACATAATACAACATAGCATTCTTTGTGCACCATAAATAATTTCGACCGTAGTGAGGGATCAAAGGAACTCTTGCAATTTTGATTTTTTTCTTGACAATCTGCGGATTTTATACACCGGTTCCTGATATGATGCTGGGTTACTGAGCATTTACTTTGTTTTCTCATTCGTTTTTCATTTTTTTTTTCACAATACATTTAAGAATTGCAACCTATATGAATTCCTTAGAACATCAATACTATACACGTACATGTTGAATCACTACACTACATTGCTCCAAAACTCACTAGGCTAGTGATCTAACAAGTGCCCTTATTGGAAATTATCATCTCAAACTCTCTCATGGTTTTGAAAGGATCGTCAATGTCGACATTCTTTTCCATCTCAATGAGGGCAAGCCGAGCGGCTTCTCTGTCTCTTTGGCGATTCTTCTTTATCAATCCATTGGCCCTGGCAAGTTCGGCGGCTCTATACTTGTCAATCACGAGAGAGGGGGTTTCAGGGCGTTGTGCTTTAAGAATGGTAACTGCGAACCGAGATTTCAACATGGCCACCCGACCCGCCTCAGGTGTTGTGGTGCCATGCTCATGATGGTCACAAAGAGGAAGAGGAAGTAGCACTGTCACCGGTGACTCACGGCTCAAGTAGCCACCCGATTTATCTGATGAAATCTCACAAGTCACAGGAAGAGGAGTAGACAGCCTCTTCTGCTTCTTTGCTCCATTCGTTTCCGGGTCCATAATATCAACTCTCGCGATCGTCGGCCAGTGGAGGAGCGGAGCGTTTCTTTGAATTATTCAAAGAAGCTACCTTCTGGGATTCGGGTTTGGAGACCAGTACTTTCGTCGAACGGGAAGAAGAGGAATCATTAGCAGCCTTCTTGGAAGCATTCAGATTACGAGTGGTTTCTGCTGCAGGTTTGTAGTGATCAGATGAGAGGATTTCGTCAAGCCACTTTCTAGTTTTTCCAGAGTATTTCATGGTTGGTGACAAAAAGTTCAAGAGAGAACGAAAAAGGAAAGCGCACTGCGGACGAGTAGAGGGAGCGGATGATGTAGCTTATAGTGAGAAATAGAACCCTAGCTCTCCTGCCCAAATAAAATTCTCCCAAGCCAACCTTGCTTCCCAAGAAACTAGGTAATCCAACTCGGTTTGGGAAATTTAGCGCTATTTAATCCTATTTTTCTATTACAATTAATCGAGTTTGTTGGATCATTGTTTTTTCTTTAATTTGGTTTTTGAAACTGTAGGATTTCTAGTTTCCTTGAAAATTGTGGTTTCTTGATTTCTCATATATACTTTCTGGTTTCTAAAATAGGTAATGCTAAGGACACCAAATTTGTAAATTAAATTTTGTAAACTAAATGACATGGAAGTTGATGATTAGGTTGTAACTTAAGCGTTGATAAACATGCTCATTCATATTGGCGACACATCATTTAGTTTGCAAACTTGTCTACACATTTAGTCTTCATAACATTACTCTTCTATAAAATAGAAAAATGAAAACTTTTCTCTGTGATGCCTTTTTGCTTCTAGTTGGACTAAAAAGGGCAGCGAGATATGACAACTCTCATAATAACGAGGATGCATTAGAAATGCAAATTAGGGGTAGAATTGGATATCACCTTAATCAAATAAGATTAAGAATATTACGAATATATTTTAGGACTGCAAGTAGTTTGTAATTCAATTAGTTAAGAGTATTTGCACTTGCATACGAAGTCCGATGTTTGAGTTCTCCTCCCCGTAGTTTAATGTAAATTATCTTATCGTTTGTTAAAAATAATAATCAAAGGAGTGCTAAATGACTATTTGAGAGTGTCAATAACAACTCGATTTTAAATATACAAGTAATTTTGTTTGTGATCAATTAATGAAGAGTTATTTTATTCAAATTAATAAGGGTACTAGCTAATCCATTCCAAAATAATAACTCCATGTTAAATTCTTTACTCATACTGTATAACTTTGGATGATGAGATTTTTCAGGTGACAAAGAGCTGTGTACCTTGATTGAACGTAAAATATAGCGATATAGCTAGTCCAATTTAGTTTAACCTAATTCTCCATATCAAAACACGGCCTATAATTAGGTTGTATATAACTACTCGGCAAGCAACAGAAGATTGAAAAGATGCATCTTATTCACTGAGGCCATCAAATGTGTAAACTTCATTCATATACACACATTGCTTCGAAAATAAGAGAGGAAGCTAAGCTAAAGAAACGTTACGTGTTAACCAATCAATCTAACAAGTGCCCTTTATTTGAAATTAACATCTCAAACTCTCTCATGGTTTTGAAAGGATCGTCGATGTCGACATTCTTTTCCATCTCAATGAGGGCAAGCCGAGCAGCTTCTCTGTCTCTTTGGCGATTCTTCTTTATCAATTCATTGGCTCTGGCAAGTTCGGTGGCTCTATACTTGTCAATCACGACAGAGGGGGTTTCAGGGCGTTGTGCTTTAAGAATGGTAACTGCGAACCGAGATTTCGACATGGCCACCCGACCCGCCTCAGGTGTTGTGGTGCCATGCTCATGATGATCACAAAGAGGTCGAGGAGGTAGCACTGTCACCGGTGACTCATAGCTCAAGTAGCCACCCGATTTATCCGATGAAATCTTACAAGTCACGGGAAGAGGAGTAGACAGCCTCTTCTTCTTCTTTGCCCTATTCGTTTCCTGGCCCATAATCTCAATTCTCTCACAATCGTCGGCCAGTGGAGGAGCGGAGCGTTTCTTTGAATTATTCAAAGAAGCTACCTGCTGGGATTCGCGTTTGGAGACCAGTTTCGTCGAATGGGAAGAAGAGGAATCGTTAGCAGCCTTCTTGGAAGCATTCTGATTACGAGTGGTTTCCGCTGCAGGTTTGTGCTGATCAGATGAGAGGATTTCGTCAAGCCACTTTCTAGTTTTACCAGAGTATTTCATGGTTGGTGACAAAAAGTTCAAGAGAGAACGAAGAAGGAAAGCGCACTGCGGGCGAGTAGAGGGAGTGGATGATGTAGCTTAGAGTGAGAAATAGAACCCTAGCTAACCGCTAATATATAAGTAATTATAACATGTGCTCTCCTGCCCAAATAAAATTCTCCCAAACCAACCTTGCTTCCCAAGAAACTAGGTAATCCAACTCGGTTTGGGAAAATTAACGCTATTTAATCACATTTTTGTAAGATGTTCATTCATTGATATTTTGATTATTGTTGTAATATTCTTAATCTTATCCTATCGTTTGTCAAAAAAAGAAAAAATCAATGAGTGTTGAATTATTATTTGAGAGTGCCAATAACAAGGCAATTTTTAAAAAAAAAAAAAAAATGGGACTAGCTGATGGCTTTGCCACGACAATCCATCATTTTGGGAGTTATAAATACTCTCAGAGACATTTCAGCTTCCCCTTGGCCCACATCGATTTTCAATATACAATTTTAATTGTAATTAATTAATGAAGAAGTTACTTTATGCAAATTAATAAGGAGACTAGCTATCATTTAGTACTACGGTCTAGTGATATTCCTCTTCATTTGTAAGTGAGAGATCTTAGGTTCGATTCTCGCCAAAAACGAATTTGAACCACATTATTGCTAGCTTATTGTGAGGCTAAGCCCACCCCTGTCCCTTAGGGTGCGTTTGTTGCACTGGACTATCCCGGACTCGACTAGCTTCCGGAATTAAGCTGGATTGGCTTAGACTAGACTAAGCTGGACTAACTTAATGAAGCATTTGATGCAGTGACGGACTTAAAGAAGGATAAGTAACATCTATAATATTATATTATTTAATTTAATAATATTTTATTCAATCTTTTTTCATTTTGTCTCTAAAGTGTCTAGAACACTCTACTTCCGTCCCTTTTATTAATTCAATAATATTTTAATTTTTTATTCAATCTCTCTCTGGACTCTCTGGAGACTTCTTTATTTTCTTCCTTTAGTTTCGTCCCCATAACACTCGTTTTCTTCATCTTTTGTCCTGCAAAACCACTCATTTTCTCCATCTTTAGGTATTGGTGAGGCTGGGTTTCAGATATGGGAAATGGGTTGGCAAACAGAGTTGCCCAGAAGCATGCTTGCAGACTTGTAGCGTTCATAAACTTGCAGCGTGCGATCGTCTTTGGAGATGGGATTAGCAATCCCATGGTTTTTTAGGGGTTTAGTTAAGACCAGCTAGTCCCTCCTTTAGTTGAAGCGAGTGAGAGCTAGTCTCATTAAATCTAGACCATGTAGGAAACAAACACGGGACTAGACTAACCCTTAGTCCAGTCCAGTCTAGTGAATTTTAGTGAGGGAAAACAAACACCCCCTTAGTGTAGATAATATCGTTTGTTAAAAAAATAAAAAAATAAGAAGACTAGCTAATCCATTCCAAAATAATAACTCCATGGCAAATGCTTTACTCATAGAGTATAATTCTGGATGATGAGATTTTTCAGGTGACAAAAGGAGCTGTATACCGTTAAATCTATGGCATAGATTGAACTTGCCTTATTCACTAGACGAGATCGAATTTGCTGTTATAGGGATTAATCCCAGTGTTTACTAGGTTTTCTTCATATTTCATCAATTGTTTTGTGTTGATAAATTGTAAATTATAAAGTTGCTTTCATTGGTTGAAAACTTTGAAAATTTGACTGTAAGGTTCCAACTGATTGATTATGTAATTTAAGTGCTATAAATTCAGGTGTCGTGGCTCCATCCAAAGTACTGGAGCAGTGTCCAAGGGACCGAGGTTCCTCAGAACCCATCTCGACCGCTGTAGCACGGTTGATGATTGG